CCAGACAAAATGTGATCAGAAAAGCTCACTTGAGCCTTCGGCTCAGGTGAGCTAAATAACGGATAATTATTAAATAATTCACATCAACAACACTCAATTTTATTGCCCTTTCTTGTATGAAAAAATTTGTATTTTTAAATGAATACCTACTTGTTTATCAAAGAAACAGATAAAATAGTTTTAAATTCTGAATATTATCAACAACAAAAATTAGATATGACAAAACAAAAAGTGAAATGAAAAACACTATTTAAAATTGAATTTTAATATTGTTTCAACACCAATGAAATTAAAATGCCAAGTCATTTAGTACGAAAGCCCAGAAGGCTCATTCGAGATTCAAGTTTCGAAATACGAGATTCAAAATTCGAGATTCGAAATTCGAGTTTCGAAATTCAAGATCCAAACTAACCAATCAAAAGCAGGTTCAACTTTTGATTACTTCCCTTTGTTACGTTTATACGATCACGAAATCGTTGAATATATTTATAACAAATGAATTATTTGCTAAAATGATAATGCAAGAAAAAATGTTTTATGTATTAAAACGAAAAAAAAAATGGATTACATTTTGAAAAATACATATATAATCTTATTTTTCTAATTTAACAAAATAGTAAATACGTATATATGGAATATTATATGGTCTTATCGTTAACTTGTTGAATAAGTAGGTCAACTAATTTGCTTTCATCAGATCATTGCTGATGGAGAATGTTGCAATTAATTATAATTAGTTATGAAATATTATGAATCGTATCTAGATTGAACAATGATTTAAGGGTATATATTTCATTACATTTATAAAGGGTACATTTGTGCAGTGAGACTTGACTGCTGAATCGAACTGTAGCGTTATATAAGGTTTTATAAGAGTATATTTTAGTCTTTGGCCATAAAGCTATGGCCAGAGACTAAAATATAACACCATTACGCTATATAGTTCTGCATCTAATTTAGACTCATCTACTATTTTGATATAAGATAAAATAAATGCCGCATTTATTTTAATTCATATCGCCAAGCTGTATTGTAGTTATAATTTTTGATTAATTCAAGAAATCAAAGCCTTAGATGTCAATAGATGAAGATAAGTAATTAAATACTTAATTTTTATGTATTTCCTCTATCAAGAAAACGAACGCGGTTTTTCTTTATCAATACTACGTCGTCTTTCAAGTTTCAAGCCTTTCAGTGTGTTGGGAAAAATGGGCAGGCGGGGTGGGTAGGGATGGGGTTATTGTTAACCTCTAGACACTTGCCACGTATTCATAACTTTTATTAATTATTTATTTGTCATCAACCCCGTAACCAAAGTAGACAATACAAAAATATATATATTCCTGATATATGTATTCTATTTAATATTTAAGAAGCTATAATATAAATTGAAGTATATCTTGCTGATCAAAAATCCAATGATTATTTAAATTTCCTTTTTATATAAATAACACTCTTTCTTGCATTGTAATTTTATTAAATGACTTATTTGTTATTTATATATTAAACGATTTCTTGATAGTAAAATCATAATAAAGGGGAGTAATCAAATCTTGAACCCGCTTCTGATTGGTTAATCTGGATCTTGAATCTCGAAATTCGAATTTCGAATCTAGTATTTCGAACCTTGAATCTCGAATGACCCTTTTGGGAGCTTTTGATTGGTTAATCTGGATCTTGAATCTCGAAACTTGAATTTCGAATCTCGTATTTCGAACCTTGAATCTCGAATGAGCCTTCTGGGCTTTCGTAATTTAGTCCTAAACTCTGTGAAAAGATCGATAACTCTTTAGTTGCCATTAAATTCAACCTATTAAGAATTCCTTGTACATTATGAAAAGGTAAAATTTAAGGGCTATGTGTGCCTAAAACCTCTTGACTAAATTAATATATGAATATCAAAAATCCATATACAATTCCGTGTTTAAAAAAATACTCAACATCACTTTCCAGTGATAAATAAGATTGGATCATGCTGCAAATTTATGTATAAAGTAGACGCAAACACTTTGACACCCTCTTTTAATGGGAGATCACATCGTACACAAAAGATTAGCAACCCCCCCCCCTTCCCATGAAAAAGTTTCACTTGTTGAATTTTGACATCACCTTGCTCAAACCTTGCTCATAGGAGTCATGTTATAACCAACTCAAACGCAAACACGTGATGCCTCACTATCAACATGATTCCTATATGGCCTTGCTGCTACTGAATAGATTTGATTTTTTTTTTCTGTACGCGTGCTTTAGGTTAATTTTGATCCCTGATTTTAGCCTAATATAATCTTAGCTATGGTGATTAAATGTAACAATCTTCAACTCAGACAATTCGGGAAAATTAAAATGTATAATGTGGAGATACTAGTAACAAATAGTGATCGGTCTAAAAAAAATCTTTTAAAAAATCAATTACGTGAAGATGAAAACACGGACCTCGGGAAATTCCAGGGGATGGATCGTGTGCCCAAGGAGGAGAAAGGAGGAGCCCTATGTAATGATCAGATAGATGAAACTCTACGTAGTTAAATTCAGTTTAAAAACTAAGTGCCTAACAATATGATATGAAACGATTAAGCTAAAATATAACCCAATGATAGGTTATATTTCCTTAAATTATCATTATTACGAAATGGCGACTTCAAAAGAGGTTGTTGAAAACATTGTAACATCAGTTTATCAGTGATACCATACACTTCACATAATTTTGTACATTTGTTCTAGCTTACTAGTAACTTTAACGAAGGAATTACTCCTCACTAAGATATTTACAATAGTCGTTCAAAATATTAACTGTGACTCACAATTTGGAATCAGTAATAAATTCTCAATATTATAATGTACAACATATCTTAGATTGATACTAGAGGAACTGTGAGCAATGAGATCGCTAAATAGTATCCCCGCCTCCCATTTGTTTATAATTGCAAAGTTCATAATTTGCTCTTAGAGTACCGAAAAAAGTGTCATATCAAAAAATTGAATAAACGGTCAGAATGGCAGTATGTAATAAATAATCGCATTACATTTCATTCAGGGGGTACAAGAGCTAGGAGTTGCGGATAAGAGATGGGTACCCTTCAAATTATAAAAAAAAAGACAGCATTCATATTTGCTTTAAGAAACCGGAAATATGTACCCGATAAAAATGTAAAATAGGAGGTAAACATTGGCATTCTGTAACAAAGATTCTATGAAAGTCTGATTAAATTTCAATCAGTGGAATAAGAAGAGTTACAGAGATGGGTAATCCAAAGCGTAACAGACAGACATCCCGATAACTATATACCCTCCCACTTTTTAACGCGGGAGTATGACTAGATACTGTGAGCAATGAGCTTACTAAATGATACTACCCGCCTCCCATATGATTTTACATGTAATGCCAAAGTCCATGTTTTGCTCTGGAAGACTCGAAATAAGTGTCGGATCAAAAAGTAAAATGGAAGGTTCACAATTGCATTATGTAATTAAGAATCTGTGAAAGTATCATTCAATTTTATTCAGTGGTATAGGAGAAATTACGGATATTAGAGATGGGTACCCTTCAATATAATAGAGAGAATGTATGGGATCTCCCTAGTAGTTAAGGTAGTTTATTTGTAATTAGTTGTTATCTTCGTCATTAATAAAGGACAATATTCATCAAAGTATGTCTTGTAGTGTTTTAAGGAGGTAAACATTAACAAAGCTGCAGGACCAACAGGGAACTGGTTTTCACACATTCTTTACTTTTAAGGCATTTGCCTAGCATAAGATAAAGGGAGGGCATAAATGTAATTGTCCATGTTTTGCTATGGGAAACCCAAATTATTTGTCTAATAACAAAGTAAAATAGGAGGTTCACACTGGCACTGTTACAAAGATTCTGTGAAAGTTTCATTAAATTTCAACCAGTGGACATGAGATGGGTACCCCAAAGTGTAAAAGATGGACGGATGGACATCCCTATCACTATATACCCTCCAACATTCTTTCCGTGGAGTGCTGTGATATGATATGTACCAATTCTATCCTAATATACACGATGTTCACCTTTTCTTATCTGAGGATAAACATATATTACACTGGAAAGACGGGGAGGGGGTTAATTAGAAGAATCTACCAGAACATGAATAAACTTGACACATTCAGAGTTCAAAGTTTTTTTCTTTCAAAGTAATATTTATAGCATATGTTATTCAGTAAAACAGCGAATGGAAACGGTAACAAGTAATAACTGGATTATTTCAGGAAAAATGTATCCTGTGAATGATGATTATAGGTAAACTTTTACCTGTGTATGATGATTAAATGTAATATGTTACCTGTAGATGTTGATTACAGGTAAAGTGTTACCTGTGGATAATGACAACAAGTGAAGTGTCACCTCTGAATGATGATAACAAGTAATGTGTAACCTGTGGATGATGATTTCAGATTAAATATTACCTGAAGATGATGATTATAGGGAAAGATTAACCTCTGAATGATGATAACAAGTAACGTGTTACTTGTGAATGAATCTGATTTCAGTTTAAATTTTACCTGTAGATGATGAGTACAGGTAAAGATTAACCTCTGAATGATGATTACAAGGTAAGAGGTAACCTGTAGATGATGATTACAGGTAAAGTGTTACCTTTGGATGATGATTTCAGTTTAAATATTACCTGTACATGATGTACAGGTAAAGATTAACCTCTGAATGATGAAAGCAGGTAATTTATTACCTGTGGAAAATGATTACAAGTAATTTATTACCTGTGAATAGTAATTTCAGGTAAAACACTGCCTGAAGATGATGAGTACAGGTGAAAATTTACCTCTGAATGACGATGACAGATTAAGTTTTACCTGTGGACAATGATTACAGGTATATTGTTACTTTTGGATGATGATAACAGGTAAATTATAACTTGTGGAAGATAACTAGAGATTAATCTCTGAATGATAATTGCAGGTAAAGTGTTACCTGTGGCTGATGATTACAAGTTAAATATTACCGTTTGATGATGATAGGAGGTAAAGATTAACCTATGAATGATGATTACAAGTAAAGTGTTACCTATGGATGATGATTTCAGGTTAAATATTACCTGTACATGATGTACAGGTAAAGGTTAACCTCTGAATGATGAGAGCAGGTAATTTATTACCTGTGGAAAATGATTACAAGTCATGTATTACCTGTGAATAGTAATTTCAGTAAAATGTTACCTGTAGATGAAGAGTACAGATAAAGATTAACCTCTGAATGATGAAAAGAGGTAAAATGTAACCTGTGGATGATGATATCAGATTAAATTCTAGCTGTAGATTATAAGTACAGGTAAAGATTGACCTCTAAATGATGATTACAAGTATAACATTACCTGTGAATGATGATTACAAGTAAAGTGTTACCTGTGGATGATGATTACAGGTAAAGTGTAACCTGTGGATGATGATTACAGGTAAAGTGTAATCTATGGATGATGAATTCAGATTAAATTTTACCTGTAGTTGATAAGTAGAGGTAAAGATTAACCTATGAATGATGATTATAAGTCAAGTGTTACATATGGATAAATGGCATATTTATGAATTTATTATGAATTATGAATTTATGAATTAAATATTACCTGTAGATGAATAGTTTATGTAAAGATTAACCTCTGAATGATGATAACAGGTAGAGTGTTACCCGTGGAAAATGATTACACGTAATTTATTATCTGTGGACAGTATTTTCAGGTAAAATAGAACCTGTAGATGATGAGTACAGGTGAAATTTACCTCTGAATAATGATTACAGATTAGGTTTTACCTGTGGACAATGACTACAGGTAAAGTTTTACTTGTGGATGATGATTACAGGTAAATTGTTGCTTGTGGATAATGATATCAGGTTAAGTGTTACCTCTGAATGATAATTACAGATGAAGTCTTACCTCTGAATGATGATTACAGGTTGTGTTACCTGTGAATGATGATTACAGGTAAAGTGTTACCTGTGGATGATGATTACAGGTAAAGTGTTACCTGTGGATGATGATTACAGGCAAAGATTTAACTCTGAATGATAATTTCAGGTAAGTGTTTCTTGTGAATGATGCTTACAAGTAAAGCAATAACTGTGGATGATGATTAAAGGTGAAAATTTACCTCAGGATGAAGATTACAGGTAAAGACTAACCTCTGAATGATGAGAACAGGTAAAATGTAACCTGTGGATGATGATATCAGATTAAATTCTACCTGTTTATGATAATTACAGGTGAAGATTAACCTCTGAATGATGATTAAAAGTGAAGTGTAACCTGTGGATGATAATTACAGGTAAAGTGTTACCTGTGGATGATGCTTACAGGTAAAGCAATAACTGTGTAGGAACATTACTGGTAAAGATTTACCTCTGGATGATTACCTGTAGAGTGAGGTCAGTAAGTGACTTACCTGGCCTCTTCACATTTCCCACCAGCATTCTCCAACACCTTCTCCCCAGTGGCAATTAGTCGTTCAACTGAATAAAAGAAATGAATATACCTTTTAATTTATTTTATGGAAAAACAATTGTCTTGAGTTTAAAGTTGAATGCACTTATGTATCAGTTTACTTTATAAAATCATAACAAAAAAATAATAATAAAATTTTTTTTTAAACAAAAAAAACCCATACGGAGCCCCAACTCTTCCCTAAAAAACAGTAATTTGAATTAAGTTTTGGATATTTTAACTTACTGTGTTCATTTTCTGTAGCAAAGCATTATATACATGTATGTGTACATGTATTAAAATATCAAAGTTTTAAGAAAGATCTTTAATATTTTTATTAATTGCAAGCTTAATGCACATGCCCATTTCTAGGTCCCCTGCTTTCAGTTCTTTGGGGTTCTTTATATGTTGTTTGGTTATTATGAGGTAATGATGATCTGCTGCAGGGCTCCTGTCACGGAATGCAACAAACTCCTCATCCTGTCCAATACACAGAAATAAATCTACATGTATGTACATAGCTAGAATTACATTGTAACTCAATATAAGATAGCAAAACAGGGTTCAAGCTACAGATAATGACATTCTAAATACAAGAGGCCCACGGGCCTTATAGGTCACCTGAGAGTCATGCAAAAACTTTCAAATGATTGAATTTGGTTCATGTTTCAAGCTAGATGCTATGGTATTCATAAATCTAAAAGAGGCACCATTGCTAATCATAACTATACACTTAGCAATTGTTTAGTTTCTTTACTTAATACCCATAAGCAGGGCAGGGGAACAAAATATGCATTTCAACTAATCAGTAATATTCAGCAATAATCATAAGAGCCCCTACCACACATGAACCCCTGGCCCTAGGTATACACTTTGCAAAATTTTTGAAAAGGCACACTTGCTTATCAATAATGTTTGTTTAATAATAAGGAGCAGATTTCAAACAATTCATTTTCAGTATATAAGTAGAGCCACCCCCCCCCCCCTTCTGTATCCCTGACCCAGGGGCCTTGAAATTTACAATGCTGGAAGAAGAGCCCTTGCACATCATAATTATATAGGTAGTACATCTGTTTATTACCCAGGGGTAGAGAAAAAGATTTTCATAGATGAAATGTAATTTCACTATATAATCATTATAGAGCCACTCAGTAACACCATAACCCCTGACCACTGGGCCATAAAATTCAAAATCTTGGAAGAGGCATTCTTGCTCATCATAACTATGTACTTAATTAGTTTATTTAATACCTAGGAGCAGATAAGATTTTCAAAGAAATAATGCATTTTCACTATATAATCAATAGAGCCCCACCCTAACCCCTGACCCTGGGGCCATAAAATTCAAAATTTTGGAAGAGGCACTCTTGCTCATGACAACTTTTTACTTAGATGGTTTATTTAATACAGAAGAAGCAGAGAAGAAGATTTTCAATGAATAAATGCATTTTCACTGTATAATCAACAGAGCCCCACCCTAAACCAGAACCCCTAACCCTGGGGCCATAAAATTCATAATTTTGGTAGAGGCACTCTTGCTCATCATAACTATGTACTTAGTCAGTTTATTTAATACCTAGGAGTAGAGAAGAATATTTTCAAAGAAATAATGCATTTTCACTATATAATCAATAGAGCCCCGCCCTTACACCAGAACCCCTGACCCTGGGGCCATGAATTTCACAATTTTGGTAGGGGCACTCTTGCTCATCATAACTATTTACTTAATTAGTTTATTTAACACTCAGGAACAGAGAAGAAGATTTTCAAAGAGATATTGCATTTTCACAATATAATCAATAGAGCCCAGGCCACCCTAACACCAGAACCCCTGACCCTGGGGCCATGAATTTCACAATTTTGGTAGAGGCACTCTTGCTCATCATAACTATGTACTTAATTAGCTTATTTAATACTCAGGAACAGAGAAGAAGATTTTCATAGAAATGATGCATTTTCACTATATAATCAATAGAGCCCTGCCCTAACACCAGAATCCCTGACCCTGGGGCCATGAATTTCACAATTTTGGTAGAGGACTCAATGCTGATTTCAATCATACCAACAGTTTGACTGCTTGATGTCCAGGAGTAAAGAAGAATATTTTTAAAGATTGCACTAAGTTTAGTGGTTTTGGCCCCACCACCCTAGGCCCCAGGAGGGGGGGGGGGGGGCAGGGACAATGAAATTCATAATTTTTATTCCCATTCACCCACAGATGCTATATGCTAAAATTGGTTGAAATTGGTTCAGTGGTTTCAGAGAAGAAGCTGAAAATGTTTAAATGTTAACGCACGATGAACGACGCATGTCGCACGACGAATGACGACGGACAAAAACGGAGAGCAATAGGTCACCTGAGTTTACAGGTGACCTAATAAAACTAATACAGTATATATAATCTTTTTTGTGATTTGCTTAACAGTGCAATAAAGTTCAAGGCAGTTTGAAAGGGGATTACAGTTGCATTTGATTCTTCTGCATACATGAACTGCTACAGATGGAAAACACAAGGCATGTCAGAGCAAAATGACACTTCACTTGACCAGTATCAAGTATTAAATTTTAAAACTAAAGATAGTAGAACATGATCCTTCATAATGAAAAACATTTTTACTTGATTGTCCTGTGTATAAACATTGTCAGAAAAAAGAATTCAAGATTACTAGATGAAGTTAATACCTTATCCTGTGTGCTCAAGTGCCAATAAAGAACTGTAGTAAAAAAAATATATCAAGACACTTTGGGAAGAAGGAATAAAATCAATTCATGAAAATGTCTACCCTTTTCATTTCAATTATTTTATTAATGTCCATGATTATAAGATATTGCAAGCATCTATTGGTTTGTATGCAGTATGCACCCTATAAATATCAGTTTTCTGACTGTTTTACCAAAGGTTCGTTCGCCCGATCTACCTGTTCGCAGGAGTCCGTTCCCGCAGGGTCCATTCGCCAAAAAATTTCTTTGCCCAAAATCTTGTTTGCCCTATAAAAGTTTCGCCCAATACTTATTATATATTATATTATATATACTTATATATATTAACTTATTTGAAATAAAGATTAACATGTATTTTTATTTCCTTTACGAACTTAGGTTACTTTTTCTCAAACCAGGAACAATGTTTATTTAGTCTTAATTAATTTTTGATTTGATTCTAATGCATTAATTAATGATTTGGTGTTTGCACTATAGTTAATTAGATGACTAATATCAATGTTAATTGGGGGGATACACCCGTGTTGTTTTTACGAATTGGGCTATGTTTTGAAAACAATTAAGGGACTGAGACGTTAATACATGTAGATCCCTTATGGAACTGAGCAGCGGATCCTGAAGGTTTTACCTTTGAAGAATCTCCCTTTGATCTCAAAAAATGATTTATAAGAAGATGGAAGATGAAAATTCAACATTCAACAAGTATTTAGTATGACCCATATGCACAATCAGTCAGTATTATTTCGAATGTACCAAAAATGTACAAAGAAATTCATTATATTATATTCTATATAAAATTTGGGCGAACGGACCCTGTGCGAACGAGAAATTGTGTGTCTGGGCGAACGAAAAATCGGGCGAACGGGATATCGGGCGAACAATTTTTAGGGCGAACGAACATGGAACCCCAAATTACCACCTCAAATAAAATAGAAAAGAACTTGTTCTGTTCTGATAATAAAAAAAATGACTCAAACAAAAGCAATAATTTTTATCTAAAAACAAAATCACAGGTAACTTAAAACACATTTTCATTAATTTTACTCCCAGTGATCGAATAATATCTGTGTGTTTGGTATAAATCTTAACTACTAGTATGTACATAGTTGCTTAGGATACTGTTCTGAACAAGCTAACACTGGTCATGTCTGCATTAGTGAGTACTGCTGTAACACTGTACTTTGTCACTCGGAACCGATCTTTTTTTTTTTTTGGATAAAAATAAAATGACAGCGTTTGTATTTTCTTTCTACTTGTGAGGAAAGTAAAATTAACATTACCTGGAACAAAATAGTTGTGTTAGGGTCTTGTAAATTTGCAATTCTACAAAATACACATCTGTTCAGACTGTTGTCAGCTTTTGACATTTTGAATAATCTCTACTTTCACTTTAACCGGAAGTATAAGCTGCATAACGACTTGTTGCTGACAAATCATTCGGACAGCAAGGCATGTGAGAATGACCAAGTGCATGTAGCTGTTTTTTTCAAGTGATTGGTACCATGTTGCGGAAGATTGTGTACAGGGTGGTCATTGACGCAGTCTGTCTGACAACAGGTTTATATATATTTTTTTAATTATCCTAACGTTAGTTAAAATTTTATCCACGAGGAAAAAATTCTCTTGATATAAAATTTTCTCGCTTCTTTTATTAAAAGGTTTTAACTCGGACAGTTTGATATGTCTGCATTTTGAATTTAGTGCAATGTTGACTGTATAAAATATGGATATATATGGTTCAAATTAGTAAATGCTATTTATGTACATTTTTATAGAGGTTACAGAACTTTAAAGTCAATATATGCTGCACATGATGTGTAGTTATTACCATGATTAGATCTTATCATCTACATCCGAAATTTGTTATGGTAATGTATGAAGTGCATTCAAAAATTTCTGACATTATCACAGTGTTATGAACTTAGTATGTATATACCTATGATTAATTACAGATATTACAGTTTTGTTTATTGAATTCCTGATACATTAGCAATATTCACTGAGCTCTTTGTTCTTTTTGTATTAATTATATACATAAAACACTATCCCATCCACTTCCTTCCACTTGACACAAAAATTACGGATGTACATTTCCCTGCTTTGACCTCTAATATTTGATTGATTGCCAAGCCCTGAGGCATTGGGTAGTGTATTACAGAGCATCGTAGTAGGGATTGAATTACTTCACAAGTGAGGCGGGTCACAAGTTCACACCACTATGTTAGTTAACTAAATAGTACTCCAGGTGCAATGAAATAAATTTCATCTCTTTGAATGAAGTCTCAGAATAATTGCATTGTAAAATTAATTCTTTTTTATGGAGCTAAAAATATTCATTAATCTGTTCTGTAGTTTTACAAGATTTATGAAGTATTTAATTTTCTCCTACTTGATGTGAACAAATGTTTTCAATCACAGGGACTTAAGTTCTTTCAATGAGGTGTGTGTTATATATTTTTTTATTCTAAGTGATTTGTGGGGATAGGAAAGCTAGACTTAGAAAGGAGTAAACATGATCAATTTATATTTATGTGTATTATTCTTTTTTGTATCCTACTAATAGCTAGTCCATATATATTCTTAATATCTTAATTATAATTGTATTTTATTGTATTATAATTATTCTGTAACTTGCAATATTTATCTTGCTTCTGTTGTAGTGGCCTTGCCTAGTTTAATTTTGTTTCTTCTGGGGGAATCCTTTCATCGTGGGTTTTACTGTGATGATGAAAGCATTAAACATCCACATAAGCCTAACACAATTCCTACATGGGTTGCTTCATTTGTTGGCTTAACTATTCCTATTTTGTTTGTAAGTTTTTTGTTGCTTTTTTCTAGTTGAAGTTCAGCTTTCTTACCTCATATCAACACTAATATGTAATTTTTCAAATATAATGATACTTTAAATCATAAAAATTCTTTTCATGATTAAGGTACAATGAATCAGATACTGATCTGTGAATTGCATATACCTAGTAATCAAGCAATTTTGTTTCAATATATTTGCATGGGGTTTTTTTTATAGAATAAAGAAACAGTTAATTTTTACATATTTATGAATTAATTATTACAAACATGTTATTTCAATCAATGTTTATAAACTTGTTTTCCATTTTCCACTTTCATATATATTCAGTTTTAATGGTTTGCAAGGCAAAAATTAATTAGTATGAGTGTTTATTTTAAGGAAATGATGTAGAGTGCATATAAAGCAAGTTATCAGGAAACTGATTGTAGATTAGGAAACAGGACACATTACTTTTTTCCAACTTAGTGTATTATTTTTTTTTTAGTAAATTAATAATTATTTTCTGATTATACAAATAAAAAGGAACAAAATTAATGAAGAAAATTACCCAACAAAACTATAGCCACATACAGTCATAATTCAATACAGTAAATGCATATCAGCAATATTTTATTTAATATAATGCATGAGCATGAACAGCCTATATGAAAATAAAATGAATACCGTAAGCTAGATTATAATGCATTAAGAGACAAAAATCAAAATGAAATTCATTCTTCAGTTATTTTCTTATGTTAAAAGGAAATTGGTTTAAAGATTAATTTAATTGCAGATTGTTGTTATAGAGGCATCGAGGTTTTCAGTTTCCAGCCGAAATTTCCTTGATGTAACAAAAAGAAAGTTTGTGATTTCGGTATACAGAACTTTAAGTTCCTTTTTCTTTGGGGCTGCGATCACTCAGATGTTGACAGATATTGCTAAGTATAGCATAGGACGACTGAGACCACATTTTTACAGCGTGTGTAAGCCGAGTATCCAGAACTGCACCTGGAACACAGGCTATATAGAAGATTATATTTGTACGGGAACAGACCTGGAAGCCATTAAAGAAGCTAGGTACTTATTTCAACATACCTAGTACTTTACTTATATGACTGAAAATTCACTCTTTATGATGTGAAACAAATACTTTTGTTTTATTCAGTAAAGAAGTAATTATTATTTAAACTGTTAAAAAATTAGCTCCAACCAATATAGAGTTTTAGGGAAGTTTAAAGTTTTTGATGACAAGCAGATGAACAGACAGCCAGGCAGATGGGAAAATAAAAACAATACGCCTCTGAATCTTTTGATTGATTATGGGGACATTAACACTTTTATTGATAACCTGCAATTTATTTGAACAAAGATTCATTGGTATATTAAAAATACAATGTATATGGTAGAGCATCATCAGAATTTTATTAACCCACAGGTTTTCTGTCCCTTACACAGTATGAATTCAGTGGAAGGGAGAGAAAACCTGTGGGTTTCGACAATGTTGGTTGAGTTACATTACCTCTGTCTTACTGCTATTACAAGAAGCTTAAGATACTGATAACAGACGTATCCTCTCTTATTTTTATAGGTTGTCTTTTCCATCTGGGCACAGTTCTATTACAATGTACTGTATGTTCTTTGCTATTGTAAGTATAACTCTATATTAATTTATTCAGCCATTTTTACAATCAATGCAGAATTCTATTGTTCATTTCTGGTGTTTTACAGATGTACCTCCAGAATAGAATGACATGGAGAAAGTGTTGGTTACTTAGGCCAGTGATACAGATGATCCTTTTTATATTTGCCTACTACACGTCTATATCCAGGATTTCAGACTACATGCACCACTGGAGTGATGTGTTAGGGGGGTCTGTTCTTGGAGTTGCTGTGGCCATTCTTGTGGTCAGTAACTTAATTGTTTAGTACATGTATTATGTACATGTTTAAGACTGTTCTTGATGTACATACGGCACTTTTAAAGTATACATCTTTATACTTAATGTCTGCATTCAGATGAGAAACAAAGTTGTGAATGTATATATTTGTGATTCAAAATAACAATATGTGCATCATGAATATTTTCCCTTCATTCTTATGATGTGTTTGGATGTACTTGAAAACCCATAATGCTTCTGTTTTTTTTTCCAGATCTTTTTTGTGTCAGATGTAATGGCAGATGTAGCATGTTGTCGTAGCAGTGCAAGTAATCCCAGCATTCCACTCTACAACGTACATTCTGATGAAGACCGGCTAAGTGTAAAACATTCAAATGATTTCCAATTATCCACTGGAGTTGGCAGTCATAATGCTGCTCCTCAACCTTGATCTTCACCTTTGACCTCTTGCAGTTTAATGCGTGTTGTACTTGTGGCTATTAATTGCACAGTGCTTACTGCTGGCGTTTTGTGTTTCTGTTAACAGTATTTCTTTCTATTTATGTTAATTTTTTTTTGTTTTTTATTTATATTCTACAAATTCTTTATTTATGCCTCTTTTATCTTTTGTGATAAACCTTTGTAGTCCATAGGCTTTAGCCTGTTGGTGTTCCTGGTATATATTATAACCCAAAATTCTGTTAATTAATGCAATCTTTATAATAAGATATCTAAATGCATATCATATATAACAATATACATATATAAAAATACACATATATAGGGCAAGCTTAATCACCTGCAACAATTAATGAGAAAACTATAATTATATCACTGAACTGTGAATTAATATTTTGCTATATTTATTTTACTAACAAAATGTTATTCTCAAGACTTCTATGCTCAGCTGAGTGAGCTTTTCTAATCACATTTCCTTTTGTTTGGAATCTGAATCTCTGTCCAGTCTGTCTGCCCAACTAACGTAACATTTTCAACTTCTTCTTAAGAACCACCTGGCCAATTTCAACAATTTTTGCCACAAAGCATTCTTTTAATAATGGGATTCAAAATTATCTAAATGAAGGGACACATCCTTTTTCAAGATGAGATATTTAAGAAAGAATATATTTTTGAGTGGGTCATTAGACAAATTCTTTTCAAGAACCACTGTACCAAAAAAGACAGAAATGATCGCAGTTGAAACTTCCTAACATGTAGGTTCAAGTTTGTGAAAATTTTTGTCTTCTTCTCAGGATCAGCAAGGCCACAGTGTAAAATGCATTCAGGTAGTGGTGATTCCAATTTGTTCAATGCATGGCCACAATAGGAATCAAACAAATTACATGTATGTGTACTTAGGGGGAAAATGTTTTAAATACTCTTCTCATGAACACAGGGCTTTGCTGTGTGATATTAATTATATGCAGTCATCTTCAGGTAGTGTTGTTTTAAATTTGTCCAAATCTTGTCCCCTTGGGGTTCATGTTGTGACCACAATAGGGAATCAAAAATTTACATTTGAATGTATAGAACATTACAATTGAGACATATGATGTGGGATATAATGTAAACTTTCAAGTTCATTCAAATGATCTCACCCCCACCCCCTGGTATTGGATGAACACAAAAGGAGATCAAAATTGTTATTGAAGAAAATATTGTGAAAAAATGGCAGGACAATGCTAAGTCACATTCACATGGAAATACAAACTCCATAGTTTTGTTGATTCATTTCCTCCCAAATCCCCAGGATGTTTAAATTATGTTACATGATAAACTTTCAGGACTAGGGTGGGGCCCCACAATAGGAGGTAAGATTTATTTTCATGTGAATGAAGTTGGAAGATATTTTTCTCATCCTTTTATTGAAGATCAGGAAGCTAAGCCACAGTGACTCAGTGAGCATTGTAGCCACTGGGCCTCTTACTTTATTGTTGTATCTGTTTTTTATATTCCCACCAGTATTATATGTGGTTGCAGGAATACTTTTTTGTTAACCATAAATTTTTTAATGAATTGCTCATTTGATTATATTTAACTGGTATTTTCTAATATTTCAAATGATTTACATGTATGCAAGCATATGTAAATTAAAGACTTTCCTTAATTTTAAGGAAGTTTGTTCAAAAAAGTTTTATTGGTAAAAAGTCTCAACCACTTTTGCTATTCATCTTTAAAGAGGTAAAATCAATCAAAGGATTAAATTTATTTTTCAACACCAAATTTTAATTTTTTTTTTTTTTTAATACGAGGGCTGTTCAATAAATAATGTCCTCGATGCTTAGAAAGAAGCAAAATACGCTTTTCAATGATTCAGTCTTAATAATTTAACGAAAATATTCTCTTTGAATTAAAAGACATGTCCGTAACATTTTTATCAAATTTCTGATTGTTTTTAGAACTCATTTTTGAGTATGGTTGGAAAATGAACGAAGTCAAAGGGTGACAGATCCGGCGAATATTATTGTGTGACAAAATATTGCCTCACAGTTTATCTCCAAAACTCCTTTACTCTTCATGGCGTGTGGGTTTGGACGCTATCATAAAGAAATTTAATGTAGGTGATTCCTGATTCTAGTTCCTTCCTCTCAAAAACCTTTCGATTTTTTGTAAAAAAGTTGATTTCTAGACTTCTCCAGAAATTAATCTGACTCCCCGAATAAGAATTTGAACAACAAGACCACTAATATTTAAGAAAATGGCATATAAAAGTGTCTTTGTCCCCTTGTAATTCTCTGCCCTGTTCAGACCTTTGCTGTTTTTGTCAAGTACATCTTATTGTAAAAATGTTCTGAGGGTAAAAATGCAATGGATTCAAGTGTAGTTATATCTCTTTGAATTTCAGACAAACATGGACTGGATAACTAAAATTTTCGATTTTTAAAAAAAAAATAACTGTCCAGATATTCTTACACGATGTCGTTTTCACTCGTTTTTCAAAACATAGGGTGACCATTGAGTACTTAGCTTTTTTACTGTCAAAAGTTTCTTTAAAATAGTGGTAACTACCCCCAAATTGATGCCTATTAAATTTGCTATGTTTATTTAAGTCAATCAACTATCTTAAGTGATAATTTGTTGAATTTTGGCAAATAGAACATTGACTGTTGTAAGTCCTTGTCGCCAAGGACGGTACCCATATTTGATGCCCATTATATCACTATCGTTCATTGAAATCCATCTGCTTATGTGTCTATAAAACAGGCATTTGTTCCTGTAAATTTCACAAATTTCAGTGAATATTTCTTGGGATTCTTATCAAGTTTTACAGCAGCTGAAACGAAGCGTTTGTTTTCACTCTAGTTTACCGATTCTTTACCATTAATTTTTAATGCAGTGTCTTGAATAGACCTTGTTTTCCAGCTTCTCACAATGAAAATATGAGATGAAAAGTTGTTACATAAACTGATATCAATTCGTTAAAGATTGAATCATCAGAGAAAGTCAAGCTTAATGTCATATGATATATGTGTTGTATGTCATAAAGTTCAGAACATTATTTATTGAACAACCCTCGTAGATTTATAGTGAATTTGCACCAAATTTTTTTTACTGAATTTAAGGATCTGTGGTGGTCATGTAATGAAAATAACTTTTATCTGTAATTTATATCTTGTAATTACAGATAATACTAGTAGTTAGTTTCATGTATATCTTGTAATTCTGAAAAATATGGTACATTGTATGGAACTGTCCTTTCTATTATATATATTGTGAGGGAATGAGTCACAACTTCTCTGGCCTTTTCTTCGGCCCTTTTCAAGAAACTATGTGTGAAATTCTTTTTTGTTTACTTTTTTCATTTACTCATATATACCATGTGGTCATATGTAATCTAATTAGATTTAGATCATTCATCTCACTTTCTATACAGAGAAGCAAAATGAAATATGTAATTTTAATCAGATGGAGTAAACACAAATAATATAATCTTAATGATTCTTCTTTGACAAATATATATAAATGTGTTAGTTTTAATTTTAAAAAAAATTTTTAAAAATCTATTTTCAGTCTTTTCCAAAACAGAGAATGAGAATATACTAATTTTTCACAAGAAGCACCAGTTCATGGCATAATACAAACTGTTCAAATGGTATATCAGCACATGCTTTTCTATACAGATCTGCTTAAGTGTATTTGTCCTACTGAAATACATGTTATCCAATGATGAGCAGCAATTGTAGCAATTTGTTTAAGAGGGGATTGGTGGTTTATGTCCATTTAAAAAAATAAATCTTAAAACGATTCTGATAGAAAAAAGAAAACAATAAAGATTTGTAATTTTTCCGAAAGACGTCGCTACAGCCAGCCCACGAATATCGAATGAAATTTGCCAGGGGTCCAACGACAACGTTTTGACTCAGGATGGGTTGAAGAGGTGTTTTATTTTGTATCTTATGCCAATTTATACCTCTGATGCTAATTAACTTTTACACATACTCTTCATATTTGCTATCAGCTCTGTCCTCGCTATTCTTTATAAAATGTCTCAAGGTCCTGTTTCTATATTTATATATCAACTTATTTTCCAGCTTTTAATTAATTTTTTGTGGTATTAATGGAATATACACTGTATTTAATATTTAGAAGTTGGTTTCATGTACAGGATTTATTTTGTAAATTAACATTTTTAGCTTACCTGAGACGAAGGCTCAAGTGAGCTTTTCTTATCAAAATTTGTCCGTTGTCTGTCGTTGTTGTTGTCGTTGTCGTAAACTTTTCACATTTTCATCTTGTTCTCAAGAACCACTGGGCCAATTTCAACCAAACTTGCCACAAAGTATCCTTTGATGAAGGGGATTCAAATTTGTGCAAACGAAGGGCCATGTCCTCTTCTAAGGGGAGATAATTATGAATTAGTGAAAAATTAATGGGATCTTTTAAAAATCTTCTTCTCAAGAACCATTGGACCAGGAAAGATGAAACTCATGTGGAAGCATCCTCTGGTAGTGTAGATTCAAGTTTATTCAAATCATGACCCCGAGGGGTAGGGTGGGGCCATATGGGGGTCAAAGTTTAACAGAGGAATACGTAGGGAAAAATCTTTAAAATTCTTCTTCTCAAGAACCACTGGGCCAGGAAATATGAAACTCGTGTGGAAGCATCCTCTGGTAGTATAGATTCAAGTTTGTTCAAATCATTGCCCCCAGGGGCAGGGTGGGGCCATTATGGGGGTGTCAAAGATTCACATAGGAATACATAGGGAAAATCTTTAAAAATATTCTTCTCCAGAACCACTGGGCCATGGAAAATGAAACTCGTTGGAAGCATCCTCTGGTAGTATAGATTCGTTTGTTCAAATCATGACCCCCGGGGGTAGGTTGGGGCTACAATGCGGCATCAAAGGAACCACTTATGCATTTAAGCTTTTAAATACTAAACTTGCTTTTCTCCTAGCCTCGGTACTCAGGTGAGCGATGTAGCCCCTGGGCCTCTTGTTTAACCACTCATGATTGCACTCCAATACTGAATATTCTTTATATATGTACTTGAGTAATTATACCGTTCACTGTACCACTGTTATACGAAATATACTTCTTAGATAATTTAGTGAGAAGAAATTATCAGATTGTTAATTGTACTATTTTATATTGAATCCTCTTAAGTTTGTATTCATGGTATTACATGTCTATCATAATACTGAAGATCACCAAATTTTCGTGACACCTTATTTTCGCGATTTAAATATTTGATATTTATCAACGAGACAAAATTTTCATGATTGCTGGTTATTCTTTGTTGTTAATAAAAACATACGCAGGAATAAATTTTTTGTGAGTAGATCGTCTCATATGATTATGTGAAAATAAGGTTCTCATGAATAAAAAGTGATTTACAGTTAATCTACTTTTTCTCAATAATTAAACGAGTGCTTTCATTTTTTTTAGCTGCCAGATAATACACCGGAGTACACTGGTATTCCACAGGAGTGATAATATATGTTCGCTTATAGGTGGATAATAAATTTTGTTGAACTATTTGGCTTTCAGATCTTATGGTTTATTTAATGCCCCGGCCCGCCATGAATATGGTCAGGGTATGTTATGATTGCCATGTCCCTCTTCCGTCCCTCTGTCACATCAGTTTCAAAGGAACTAATCAAGATATTTTTTTTTAACTCCGCATGCTGATGCATACTTAAGAGGCTATTCAACTGTATCAACATATTTTGACTTTCCCTTTGACCTTGTCATCAGTTTTCTTAGTGTGTAGATCAGTTTCAAAATTCAGAATTCAAGATTTCGTTATTAAACCTCATACGCACTGGCGGATTTAAGGGGGGCGT